CAAGACTCAACTCATGACATCAATCAAATGAGGAGTTATCAATTCAGAAGTCAATCCAAAATATATATTGGTTCATGTCAAGAATTCGAGTTCAACAATTAATCATACTTATCATAACAAGGATAATAATCAATATATATATATATATATTATCAAGAAGCATGATCCAATTCATATTAACAAATCAAATATTTATAGTATTTCTCATGCATATGAAAAATTATCCACTTACCTTACTCGAAAGCAAACAGAAATCAAAAGCTGATTCTCATGCATATGAAAAATTATCTCCTTGCCTTACTCGAAAGCAAACAGAAATCAAAAGCTGACACCAAAAAAAATCCTACTAACGTCCTGCCGGTAGAATATCAGAATTATCTGAATACAAAAGAAACATATTCAAGAATGACTCAAAAGAACATATAACCTATTTAATACACTTAACTAACGATCTATTCCATAACCCTATATGTTTTTAGACTAAATTAGTTATTTTTCTAAAAACCCAAAAATTAACGGTTTTCCCGAAATCTAATTCATAATAAAACAAATAACTAAATTGATAATAATTCACTAAATAACCCTAAATTATTCATCAAAACAATCTGAAAAAGCTAACATCACAGCTAGGAACTAATATGGAATTTATCATATTTTTAGGGCCAAATTGTAATTTTTGTTTAATTGGAGGACCAAACTAAACATATCATAAATTCATGACTATAGTGTAATTATGTCCATAATTCATCCTCATTTCTGTCCAGAACCTCTAATTATGCTCCAGGGACCATTCTGGAATTTTTCCAAAATTTTAGGGTCAAATTGTAATTTTTGTCAAATGGAGGACCAAACTAAAATTTATCATAAATCCATGAATATACTGAAATTCTGACCATAATTAATCCTCAAATCTGTCCAGAATATCTCATTATACTCCAGGGACCATTCTGGAATTTTACCAAATTTTTAGGGTCAAAGGGTAATTTTTATCAAATTGGAGGA